ACTGTGGTCTTAGAAGCCAAAGCCTTCTTGCTGACACCAGCGCTGCAGTCTTTGGTTCACTGCCTCAATCCTCCTGCCGCTCCTCAGCTCCTCAGGCTACGGCCTGAGACTGGGAGGATCAAAGAAAACACCACCTGCCCCCCAACCCCTTAAGTTCCACTCCCAAATCCCTGTAGCGCTTCATGACCCGGCTGGGATTGCTCTGAGCCGTGTCATTTATGCCCACATGAATAAGGAGCATAGGGTAGTGGTCAGTGGGCCGAAGGAGCTCAGGGATCTTCTCCGCAATGTCCTGGATACGGGCTCCTGGGAAGCAGCAGACTTCCTGGGCTAAGGAGTTGGGGCGGCAGATTGCCCCCTCAGTCCCCCTCACGATGGAGTCTCCCACGGCAAACACTTTGGGTTTTGTCTTAGGGAGAGCAGGGGCGGTAGCTGCAGTTGAGTCTGTGTTGCCTACCAGAGCTGGCAACTTAGCAGGCTCTGCTGGGGCTGCAAGAGTTTTGTACCTGTTGCAAAGCTCCAGAGGGGAGGGAGGGGGGGACCTTGGTGTGGCGGGCCTTGGTGCCCTTCTCCACCTTGGTTCAACCCCCTGGTTGGACAGCATGGGAGGTCCCCGAGTCCTCCCTTGTCCTGGAAGGGACAATGATTGAGAGGATGCTGAAGATGGCAGCAGCATTCTACCGGGAGATCTACATAGCATGACCGGAGGACCCCAAGGCAATGCAGGACTGCCTGCAGAGGCTTGTGGGTCCTCAGGGAGGATGTGGTACAGAGGCTGGTGGAGGAGTGGATGCTGGAGGAGATCAACATGATGCTCTGCAGCTTCCAGAACAATAAGACTCCTGGGGCAGATGGCTTGCCCAAGGTGTTGTGTGTTGTCTTCTGGGACCAGGCGGGCCTGGACTTGCTGGAGGTCTATAGGGAGCATTTGCAGGAAGGTCACCTGGGAGCGGGAATGGAGGAAGGCCTCATAACCCTTCCTTACAAGAAGGAGAGGTGTGACTGGAGAAACTGGCGCTCAATCAGTCCTGAACTTTGATTACAAACCAATGGCCAAAGTCTTAGCCTAGAGTTTTAAGTCTGTTATAGGTGCAGTGATCTATGAGGAGCAGGCGTGCGCAGTGCCGGGTGACAGATCCATGATGCCCTGATGCAGCTGTGTGACACACTACAGTACCAGAGGGAGAGGGGATAGAATGTCGCCATGCTGAACTTTGACTTGGAGATGGCCTACGAACGAGTATCTCACTGCTTCCTACTACAGACTCTGAAAAAGATGGGAATCCATGCACCTTTGTTACCTAGATAAAGGCACTGTACACCAATGTGAGCAGCAGGGTTCAGGTGACAGCCCCAGTTGCAGTAGAATCGGGTGTCAGGCAGGGCTGCTCGCTCTCCCTGATTCTCTTTATTTGTACAATGGAGCCACTAGCACAACAACTCAGATAAGACCCTGGGATCAGCGTTGTGAAGATCCCCAGGAGAAACGGGGAAGAGACAAAAGTCCTCGCATACATGGATGACCTGAACATCTCATGCAGGGACAAAAGGTCAGCGTAAAGAGCACTACAACACACACAGGCATACAGAGCAGCAGCAGGTACCAAGCTCAACATGAGCAAAAGCACCTGCTTAATCCTGGGTAAGCTTAGGGACCTGGGGGTTTCCGTCCCCTGGAAGGGGGTAAAGAACCTCGGGGCGGAGTTTGACCCAGAGCTGACAGAGCAGAGGGCATGGGAAAAGACAGAGGCTAAGGCTAAGGCGAGACAGAGACTGGAGGTATGGCAATCATGCTTT